TGGTATGTAAATTCAGAAGTTGGGTCTCCTTCCAGACTATAGGCTCACCCGTTTATCCCAGCTCCTACTCCTTTTCAAATCACCTCCAATTCCCTCTCCATGCAACCCTGACCCTATCTGCCTTTATTCCCAAGTAAATTTTGCAACTCAGACTACACAGATATTGGCTGAGTCAGCAAAGATTGGCTGATGCTCCTGTTGCTTGGTTTGGGGGCAGCAGGAAAGCATGCCAGGGTCTTTTGTGAGGCCCTATGCTGTGAACTATGTAGGTCTGGGGACGGTGGGACAGTGAGGCAGGGGAGAGGAGGTGGAATGGAACATAGCACAGTGGCTGGCGAGGAGGAGGGAGGCAATCAGGGTTTCCCAGGAACCAGGGGATGATGATTTCTTTTCAGTTTTGCTCCTTTTTGAATGAAAGGGAGGAAAGAGCAGCAGTCTAGGCACTTGGGCAGGCAGGGGGCAGCTGGTCTTTGCAAGTGCTCACTCTGTGCCAGCTTCCAGGTATGCACACAAGCACACTTGCTCCCTCCTATCACTGAGCCTCCATTCTGGTCCCATTGTCCAGCTTGTTAGCTGGAAGTTCTTTCTGTGTTGGAGACAGGGGAATCAAAGGACAGATAGACTATAAGCATTGGCCATATGATGCTTCCTTGACAACCAGGCTTCCTGGGCACAGAGGTAGACAGGGGCCCATGTGCTGAGATTCTTCTTGCCCTACTGATGGTACTGATCCTAGTGGGAGGGGGTTAGAGTAGAGCACGCACATCCCAGGATGGAATGAGATGCACAGGCAATGCAGATATCTTCATGGAGTGAATCTCTGGGCTTTGTTCCCTTTCCAGCTATCCTTGGCTCTGATTATTCTGACATAAAGCCTTGACTTCACCCAAGAAAACTGTCTCTCTGGCTCTGAACAGAATTTGCATGCTCACCTTTTTACCCTGTACTGTTCTGATAGATGGTAGCTCTAGGCAGCCTCAATATGCTTACACATATTTAAATCTTTCTAGGCATGGTCTCATGTAAATTGAGCAAGGACCATTTGCTTCTTTCCAAGCTTCTACAACACACAGTGCAGGGCTTTGAATGGCCTGGACACTTGATACATGTAGTTGACTGGCTGATAGACTTTCACACTCTTTTAATAGCTTCCAGGATGGGCCAGTCACCCACTTCCAACTTTAGGCAGAAAACTCTGACCTGATAGGAGCAGAGACACTTGCTCCAATCAGCATCTTAGACAACTCAGACTAAGACGCACATAAGGCATTCTTCTATCTAACCCCAGCCTCCAGGTAGTATGAGATCAGGGAGCTCACAAGATGACTCAGGATTTAGTTCATGCTTAAAGGATGAGGGTAGAGAGGAAAGAGACTTCCCTATGTAGCCTAAGTGGAAGAAGGCTGGAAAGAAGAAAAGATGAGAGAGAGAAAGCATTTGAAGGAGCGGAAAGGGGAGGAAGTGAAGGAAAGAAAGTAGTGAGGAAGAGGAAGCATGGAAAAGGAAGACAAAGGGGGAAGAAAGACAGGAGAGGATAAGACCTTCTGAGCCATTTGGACTTCATAGCTATGCTGAGATGGGGAGCTTGGAGTAGGAGCTGAATTTGAATTATAATGCAAGAACCTAGCCACCAGCAATCATCTGCTGGTGAACTTGGAGACATGGGCAATCCCTGTCATTCACAGACTCTGGGTGGGTGGGCAGATGTATTTCAGCAGAGAAACTGTGATCACACTGAAGCCAGCAGCTTCAGATAGGGTCATGTGCTTCTATGGTAAGGGACTTTGCCAAGTCAAGTTGAAGTTCTGGCTCCAGCCAGGAGAAAGATAATAATCAGTTCTGTAGATGCTGTGAGCCTTGATTGAAAAAATAAAGAAGAGGAAGCTATGTGCGCTGCTTCCATTAAGCCAGTGGGAGCCAGAGTTTAGTGAGTCAGGGAGCATGCAAAGAAAGAATTTTAACCCCTGAGTGCTTTTCTTTGACGATATCTCTGCACTCAGCCACCCTCATATTGCTGCTTCCTCGGCCTGCCCTCCGAGGCCACCACCTCTGTGTCTTCCTCCTTCAGCTCAGAGGCCAAGCTGCATATTAATGTAGATCGGATGACAATGAAATGATTCATTATTTCCCAGTCCCAGGTTTCCCAGGGCTTCTGCCTCTCCTGGAATTGGAGAGAAAGAGGAGTCCTGGGGATAAGAGACAAAGTGTGTGGTGAAAGAATACATCTAACTCAGTGCCTGGCCCCTGGAAACCCTCACCACCCTCCAGCCACCTCACTGTGGCTGCGCTCTCACTATAATGAGGCCAGAGGAAAAATGAGAAATGATTCACAGCAGAAGTATGATCAGAAGACCCTCAGTGCCATCTCTTCCTCCTACTTCAGCAGGCCAAATAGAAAACTGATGCAGCAGGGGGCTCCCCAGGAGAAACACCAGGCAGAGGGGTGCTGGTTCTGCTCTGCTTCTCCTCACACCATTGTGTGTCTGCAGAGCTCTCCCTGCCTGCTGGCTCCATCTAGCCCTGCACCATAAAGAGGCAGAGGAGAACTCACATGCACAATGGGGGCCATGGGCAGAAAGCAGCGTGTGGCCGAACATGGAGTCAGCCATCAGATTCCTTCCTGAGGTTCTGTGGGGACATTGGGGCTACAATTGGGCAAAACTATGGGGGAAAGAAATGGGTGATCTAGAAGGTTATGCAGCCAGCTACGATGGCAATGATGTCACAGCCAGGGGAAGAGAGTTGCAGAGAGGAGGTGAAGTGGGCAAATCTCTGGGCTCTAAGTCTCTGGGTATCCAGGGTGGCAGAGGAGGGAGGAGAACTGGAGGATCTGGAGAAAGTAAAGAGTTGCTTTCGGTGCCTGGAAGAACTTTCATAGTGAAAGATTTTCAACAACTTCCAGTCCCTACCATCCTAATTATTTCTTATTTTTGTTCTGCTCTCTTGGGAAGCAAAAGCAGGACAGGTGAGGAGGAAAGATGAGGACGTCATGGTTTCTCTGGCACTGACATGGGAGGCTGCATAGGAAATCCAGGTGATTCCTAAATCCCTGGCTTCCCAGCAGGAGCATCTGGTGGAAAGGTGTGGTCTCTCTAGGCCATAGCAGTCTTTGCCCAGGAAAAATGATCTTTCATCAATTCTTCTAGTCTATATAGTCCCCTGAAGAGATGCAAAGAAAGTGGGGTGCAGTGGGAGAAAAGAGAGACACCAGAAGGCATGAGCAAAGGAGGCAGGTGAAGGATCATGATTATCAGCAGCCCCCAGGAAAATGGACTGAAATGGGAATGGGACTTTCTTCCTATCTGAGGAAAAGATTCCATGCTATCTTGGAAGCACGTCACCTTTTGCTGATCCTTGGGCATTGAGGGAAAACTGATTTTCTGCTTTTTATGCCAGATGAGGAACAAGAACTGTGAAACTGAGGAAAAGGAACATGGGCCATGGAGGGGAAACTGCGTCTTCTTGGGCTTAAATGCTTTAGGTCTCCCAAGCCAGATCATCATCCTAGATCTTCACCCTGAAGGTCCCACAATTCTGGTCCAACCTGCTCCGTGAGCCAATGCACCCTGACTCAACTTCTCTAACTATGTACAGCAGATGAGAGAAGAAAATAAGTTTTAAAAGAATAAGGCGAGGTACTTTACAAGTATCCCTTAGGTTTAAAGCACGCTTGAGCCTGAATGGAGATGAGATTCTTGGCTCCCCTCTCCTCTCTTCCTCCCTTCCCTCGCCATTGTCAAGGGCCAGGTGTGGCCCAGGTACTGATTTCCCCTGAGCTGCTCTTGCATTCAGTTCTCCCATTGCCTGTCTAATCAGGAAAGGAAGCTGATGTGGCCAGTCTTTCTAAGACAGAGGAGAGAATGTGCCAGCCCCCTTTCATCCTTCCTTCCCATATTCCTAGTTCATGGACCTCTCGAGTGAAAAAAGAACTGAGATCCTAGATCCTGGGTGGGATGGGGGGGGTTAACATTTCTCCGCAGACCCAACACAACATTCCAGTTGTCACCCAATAACCAAGGGGAAATAAGGAATAAGGCTTGGAGTCATTAGCCATAACAGAGAGGGGCACAGCAGGCATTACATCCAAATACCAACTCTGTTTCCCAACTGTCCCCCTCATCATTGTTCTCTTTCCATGATGGCCCACCACCCTGCACAGATATCCTCCTGAGTCTGAGGAAAAATCCATAACTGCACTGATTCCTCAAGCTGTAACTGAGTCCTCTGCTGGCTGCACGGGTGGCTTCTTTGCACCCCTTGGGCTCTGCAGAGAGTCATCAGAATTGTGCCCACTCAGGTCCAGGCAGAGTAAGCTTCCCCAAATGAGCCACTCCTGGCTTTAACTCCGACTGCATCAGTTAAAGACACAGCTCATTTCTCTTTCTCTCACCCTTTATCTTCTTCTATTTGCAAGTCCCCTGCCTTCTCACATCTCTCCCATTTTTTCAGCTTTATCCTCTGCTTCCTGAATTCACCTCTACCCCAATCCTACTCTTCCTGGTCTCCAGCTCTTTCAAAGCTCTTAACATGCCTGTTTGCCAACCCTCTGTCTTTTTCATATCTCACTCTTCATTCAAATAATTTTACTATCCAAACTCCCTTCCAATTTTTTTCTAACTTAAAAAATTCTTCAATGTTACTGTTTTGTCCAGTATAATCTTCATCCCAACTTCCTCCCAATCTGTTCTCCTTTAAACCCTGCAAGTTCCCAATAACCCCAATCATTTAAGACGCAGTTCCTCCTCTCTTTTCTCCAGTGAGGATCTGGGTACTTCTTTTTGCTCCAACGTTCCCCAAACCTTCTCAAACACTGATACTGTTCCCTGTTTTCCCTCAAGCCTCCTTGACTCACTTCTACCCTTAAGCATCTTCTCACTCCTTCACTTCGCATTACCCATTACCCCGGTCCTTCAGACTCTGACACGCACTCGGTTTCCCCCTTGTCTCCTCCTCGCGCCCTTCCTTCCACCACAACCTTCCCCCTCCTCTTCCTCACTCACTCAGGTCTCCTGCTCAGGACGCCCTTGCTGAGGGCGGCGGGGGATTTGTGCTGAAGGAGGGCTCCGGCAGCGCAACAACTCGGGGAACGCTCCTTCTCCTTGTCGGCGACGGCCCCGAGTGTCACTGGGTGCTGGTGGGGCGACTGGGGTGCATGAGCCCTACCGCTGGGGCCCGGCTGGGGCTGCGCCAGGAGCTGTCCGTGGTGCTGAAGCGGCTGCTGCTCGGGTGCTGCCTGTGGCGCGGCGGGGGAGAGCTGTCCGTGGTCCTGGAGAGATTCCTGGGCCCCGCCGGCAGCGGTGGGAGCGGTGGCCAGGGAAGCTGGCAGCGGGGCTGACGACGGGGGGACGAGCCCGGGCGGAGGCTGGGCTTGCAGCAGCTGCTGATGCTCCCACAGGCTGCGGTTCTCGGCGCTTAGCTCGTCCAGCCGCCGCTCCAGCTCGTCGATGCGCTGGCGCTGGGTGTGGATGAGGCTCTGCTGGTTTTGCACGATGGCGGTGAGCTCCTTGAGGTAGAGCACGGCACGCACCGGGTTCTCCAGCAGGCTCTCCATGCCGCCCGCCGCCGCCTGCGCCCTGCCTGCGCCTGGGCGGGCGGCGGGGAGCGCGAGGGCGCGCAGGAGCCGAGCAGCCCCAGCAGTCGGCTCGCCTCCCTCTCCCGCGGGCCCAGCCTCCCTCCCCGCCGCCGGCGCCGCGTCACCACCACACAGACATTCGCACACGCACTGAGGGCGGAACCGCAGCGCCGGGGCCCACCTACCCTCCCTCCTCCAGGCTTAGTAAGGAGGCTCTGCTTCCTGCCGGGCAGAGAGGAGAGGAGGGAGGCGAGAGAGAGAGACAGAGAGAGAGAGAGAGAGAGGGAGGCGGGGCGCTGGGGGTGGGGTGGGGTGGAGAGCGGGATAAACGAGGGGACCCGCAAGGGATGAGATAAATCTAGGTGAGGAAGGAAAAGCGGGAGGAAGGGAAACAGCAGTCCTGGGAAAGTGCGGTGAGACCCATAGAAGAGGAGAATCAGGTAAGAAAGAGGATAAGAAAAGGGAGAGGGAAGCAGGGGAAGGGAAAGTAGGAGCGAAGGAGGCGGCACGGGACTCCAAAGGGTCACAGAGTCTGTCTCCAATCCCCGCATTCTGGGGGCTGGAGATCCATCTTAACGACTTTCCAAGGAGACGCCACACTTGACCGTTTTGTGCAACAGTCTATGCTGCTGGGGGACCCAGGTACCTGAGGATGGAGGGTCGTGGGCCTGCGAGGGAACCTAGAGAACATCTGGGCCTGCTCCTGCCTTCAATCTTGAGGAAACTCAAGGCAGGAAGGCTGTTCGTGCTGGGTTTTCTCTGGGAATGAGATCTCAGGAGAGTTTTGGGGTTCTCTAAGGGAACGCAAACTAAATAAACCAGTCCCTCTGTGGCATAGGCTTATGCTTCCAGAAACTTCTGAATAGATCACTCTATTTGACAAACATTTATGAAATGCATCCCATTACCAAACACTGGGCTAGATGGTGGTAAGATAAAGTTAGGTACGATGGAATTGTTGGTTTCCTGAAGCTTATGAATAAGTGGGTGGGATGGAGAATAAATAGTTAATTTTGATATATGGTGGTGGTGCGATGAGATAGAGCTATGCTCAGACTGCAGCAGGAGCCAACAGCCAAAGAAGGGTTCTTAGAGGAAGTGACCCCTGAGGTGAAACGGGTTTCCTAGAAAAGAAGGGCAGCTTGAGAATAAGCTCAGAGCTGTGAGTCAGCATGAACTGAATCATTCATTTCTACAATAATTATATGCAAAATACCCACTAAGTGCAAAGTAATGTGCTAGGATGTATATAAGCTACACGTAGCATAGGGAATAAATACTACTTTCTATACTAGAGTTGATTCCTATCTAATACATAGATATGACATGCGTATGAATAAGTAAAATACAAGTCAGGATTCTGTAAGAGCTCTTCAAACCAAGTGCCAGAAGAGTTCAGGGGAGGGAAAGGTTTCATTTGTTTGGTGATTTGATGAGACCTGAGGGAGATGTTATTCAAGTTGGACCATGAAGCTTGAGAAGGATTTCAACAGGCAATACAGGAGGCCAGAAATGGGGAAGATACGTCAGGCAGCAGGAAAAGACTAAAAAATGGAAACGGAGCACTATGGTTTAATCTAATTTGGCAGGGAAATGACCCTGCCTGTAAAAAGGGAGTGTGATAGGAAGGAGGCAGGGCTATGGGTGGGCTTGGCACGTTTGCAGCTGTGCAATTCCACTCTTCACACAGGTGGGCCATGAGGCTCCCTGTCTAGAAATATTTGTGGCTATCACACGTCCAGTGAGCTGGGCACCAGTGAGTCTGGGTGCCAGACTTGAAGGACCTCATGGAGAGGAATTTGTGCTCTGCACATAAATTGGTTTCTCTGCACTTGTAGAGTGTTTCAATTTTGCTCCCCACCGCCCCACCCCGCCATTTATCTTCCCAGTACACCTTTTTTTTTTTTTTTTGGCAAAGAATGAATGAACGAAGAGAACTTATTCCGCAGAGCCAATAGTTAGGGGGACAGAGCACCCAAGTGGATACTTTGATAGTGACCCGTGTTCAGCTAAATAATGGAGGTTGAGAAGCAGAATAGGGCATAGAAAAGCTCAACTATTTTTCTTCTGAATTTTCTTTGATTACCTACTTGATTTGTTGTCCAAGAGTTGGGTGTTTATAGAGATCAATACTGTAAGTGGAAAAGCCTGAAGTATAATTATCCACAGGGCTTGTTTAAAATGTAGGTTTCTTGGCCCTATATCACTCCTGCAGTATTGGAATCACTAGGAATGGGATCCAAGTGTTTTCACTCTTTGTCTTCTCTTTTATTTAAAGAATCAACTTATTGACTAATAATTTGCATGCAATAACATGCACCTGGTTTGAGAGCACGGTTCAATGAATTTTGACAAATACGTACACCCATGTAGTCACCTCTACAATGACAATTTCCATCATTGCAAAAAGTAACCTTCTGCCCCTTTGCAGTCAATTCCTCTCCTCCTCAGCCGAGTTAACCGAGTTAACCGCTGATCTGCATTTTGTCAATAGATGTTAATTGATGTTGTATACATTAATATATGTTGTAGAATTTCATGTGAATGGAGATCATATAGTATATACTTTTTGTGTCTTTCTTTTTTGCTCAGCATATTGCTTTTGAGGCTCATCCATTCCGTTATAGGGATCTCTGGTTTGTTCTCTTTTATTTCTGAGTAGTAGTCACAATATATAGAAATGCCATCATTTGTTTATCTACTCACCTGCTGATGGACATTGTGGTTGGGGCCAGGTTCTCCTTAGTTTGAATGAAGCTGCTACCTTAATGGGCAAGTTTTTGTGTGGACATATGTTTCATACGTTACATATAGTTCATCAGGAGTAAAAATCTACAATTGAAATTGCTGAATTACATGAAAATATGTATCTAACATAATAAGAAACTGATGAAATATTTTTCAAAGATGTTGTATGGTTTTTTATTTTCACCAGCAATGGGCGAGAGATTCATGTGTTTCACATCCTTGCTTGGCATGTGATATTTCCACCCTTTTTATATTTAATCGATCTGAGTGGATGAATAGTAGTATTACTATATCAGCATAGTTTGGATAAGGGCTTTTCTGATAACTAGTGTTGTTAAGCATCCTCTCATGTATTTAATGGCCATTTGTGTGTTTTCCTTAGCCATGGTTCCTATTGAATTGTCTTCTTATTATTGAGTTGTAAGAATTCTTTACAAATTCTGGAAATCAATCTTTGTCAGATGTATGTGCTTCAATATTTTTCTGAGTGGCTTGCCTTTTCACTTCTTAATATAATCGGGAGAACAAAGATTTTTTTTTTATTTTATTTATTTTATTTTATTTTTTGAGACAGGAGCCTCAAGCTGTCCCCCTGGGTAGAGTGCCGTGGCATCTCAGCTCACAGCAACCTCCAACTCCTGGGCTCAAGCGAGTCTTCTG